AATTTATTGAAACTCAGTTAGCTAAAATTTATAGATATAGTCTAATTATAGTATATTTATGAATTAAAATTTTTTTCTTCCTCGATTTTAATGATTGTGTACTATTCTCAAAAAGAACGAAAAAAAGCCACGATATATATGACAAAGTTTGAGAGAAAAATTTTTTTACATCGTGTTATTTTGCGATTCAAATTTGTTATGATTTATCATTCTGTTTTGATGTTTTTAATGCAGATATTTAAGTATATTTCTTATATCGTCTACGACAGATAAGCTTGTGTAAACATTATATCTTCGTCGTGCGTAGCAAATATAGCGAATCTACGTTATGTAAGTTCTTTCAGAAAGCATTAATAATATTTAATCTTCAAAATTTAAAATCGCCGTTGTATATTTCTACATCCAGTTGTGCGTTGGGAAGCAACGCCCTTGGTATTGATTTCAGGGTCCGTTGTCTCCCTGTACGATTTTCATGCCTCGTGCGAAGTACTCGAAAACAGCGAATCGATAACATCGAACGAAATATGTGTACAATATATATAAATACCATAAATTAATAACAATTGCATAAAAGATGAGATTAAATGTGTATTAAATTATTATAAAAGCATATAAGCATATATTTATTCATTTCGCACGATGAAAAGAGATGATCGCAAATCAGAAGTAATCTCGATTTTAATTCTTCGTATGTTCTTCGAGTTATTCTTAAATTAACACAAAATATTGTAGTGAAAATCTCGACGATCAAGAATATTTTTTTTTACAATTATCAAGAACGACGAGAAAGACGAAAGCACGACACACATCATGGACAAATTATGCAACACGTCTAATGTCTAACTTCTGGTCAATCGTGGTATTCCGTTACATTCCGTTCCAATTTTCTCACGGACGAATGGATGTCACTTCGAATTCGCGACAATCTATATTTTACTTATTTCCAGTTGGCCGAGAAAGATGCCGGTATTCTATTCGCTCGAATACCGTTAATCCTGCATCGTTGTTCAATTTTTCTAAATCGCATAAGATGCAAATATCGTAGAATCGCGATTCGATATGCATGGAAGATTCCATTGAGAAGAGAAAAAGGACGCCTCGTTCACGCGAATTAATTGTAATCTTAAATAATTTGCAATTCGATTCCGGGTTCCATGATTGCTTGAAAAATGTCCGTCGATGCTCATTTATTATTGGGTGGATTTTAGGTGCAAAAAATTTCACGATTGACACAGATTCAAGATTATCGACGAAAGATCTCTACTTCGATCAGGAACGAGAGTATCCTCAGGGCTTATTCTCTCTTTGTTTTTCTCTGCAAATAACTCGACTTCCCCTGAACATTCTCTGGAACATGAAATTAATAAGATTAATAATATTAATAATACATAAGTTCCTATACAAGCGCGAAATAAAGAAAATGTAGAAATCGTCTAATTTGATGTTAAAAACACTTTCAGATTAGAACAACAAGTATCTTTAAATTCAAATTATAGCGGTTTATCAACGTCGTTATCTGAACGTTGGATCGGAGCCAAGAATTTCACAACGGAACGTTTTGCATGGCCACTTGACCGTAGATAATTAATCGGCGAATGTTTGGTGAACAGACAGAACGCGGCTCACGTACGTGTCTGCGGCTGTTGTCGGCGCCGGAACCGTGGTCGTCTTCCTTTGGTGGTTGTGGTGGTCCAAGAGGCAAAAGGAGAAGCCACCCTCGCAATGGCGAAAGGTCGGCGAGTTGAGCGACCTGATCGTGTATCCGATCAAGTCGCTCGGCTCTGTTCGAATGAACACGATGGAGTGCACGAAACTTGGCCTGAAATCTGGCTGGCTAAGGGATCGTACGTTGATGGTCATCGACTTGAACGGACACTTCGTCACCGGCAGGCAGAGACCAAAAATGGTCCAGGTAAGGGAAAGCAATGTCTTTGGAGGAAAAAGTATCGAGTTTCTCGAAAGGATATTTTGTAAGAAAAAAAAAAAAAAAGAAAAGATCGAATAGATTTTGAGAACAAGTAATTTTTATCGGCACTTCGCACGCGATAACTGTGCAAGTGTAATTATTTCTAGCATCGATAGCAAGTGATATCAGATAACAAGTTATTATAGATTATAATCTGACTTAGCTCACGAAGAAGCAGAACCTTTTTTAAAAAAAAAAAAAAAAGGAAAAGAATCTCGAGAAAGAATGGTTGCGAAAGCCAGTGAAGAATGGATCAAAGATGGATCTATGCGCGATAATCACGGCTACATTTTCTATCTCGAACGTTATTCTTCACGAATCGTTAAGCCTCTCCTCGTTTGCACAATCTTGAACACCATCGATTTGCTTGAGCTTCCTCTCAGTTTGGCTGCTCGAACAATCGATTTAAAAAAACACGGAACTTTTATGATATATTGGTATTAACGAGCTGTTTTATCGTCGTGAAAATTGAAGGAATTCGATGCGAGTAATTAATTCGTGTTGCATATCGCCTTTGCTCAGCCTCTGTTTCCGCTCTGATTCTACGCCTACGTTTACTCGTGTCGCTTCAACGTGTCGAATACGACGACTTTCATCTTTTGGATCATTTTCTATTTGGAAAATTTGCAAAGTTTCGTTTTCGTTCTTATTCAAAAGAAGGGGATTAAAGAAGTGCAATTTGTTATGTAATTCGAAGGTGATACCCAAAGTTTCCGGGACGATTCTCACGCTGTCGGCACCTGGAATGATATCCTTGTCCATCGATTTGTCTCGAATCCAAGGCAAAGCGTTTCGCTTGGCAGTTTGGGGCCAACCTGTATCCGCCTGCGATTGTGGCGAGGAGGCTGCCAGATGGCTGTCCCGATTCCTTCTCCAGGAAGATACTGGATTCAGATTGGTGTATTATCCGCTGGATTATCCAACGAGAGAGGTCAGGAAGAGCAATGAACAGTGGTTGCTCACGCCCGACGACACTGTAAGTTTTTTTAATTTTTAATTGCGTATTAATTAATTGCTGATTAATTAAAATTAAATCTGAAGAAAAATCTGCATAATCCAAATAATAATCGAACAGGGCGCGTATCCAGACGCTACCAGCTACTGCTTGATAAACGAGGCATCGGTGACGGACCTGAACACCCGATTAGAGAAGCCAGTCAACCCCGAGCAATTTCGACCTAACTTCGTGATTAAAGGTGCAGCCGCTTACGAAGAGGATACCTGGGGCTGGGTGAAGATCGGCGACGTGATCTTCAAAACTGTTATGCCATGCACCAGATGCATCTTTACCACGGTAGATCCGGAGACAGGGACAAAGAATCCAAAAGTGGAGCCTTTGAAAACTCTGAAAAGGTTCATTATCTTTGAATTGATACTTTCTTTAAATGTGCTTCTATTATGTTACGAATGTAATATTCCACGTCTTCTACATCTTATCGATATACTCACATCAGTTGCTCAACGTAACCGATATTTCTTTTCACAGTTACAGACAAATAATGGATCCACTTATTCGCCCATTGGTCGGCGAGAGTCCAGTACTGGGAATTCATCTTGGATTGAGGAATTCTAGTGGCACCGTGCGAGTAGGAGACCCGGTTTACGTCGGTTTGCCCGAGGAGCAACCACTGTTGATATCGCCACCCTAGCTACACCGGTGGGCTTCCTGCGAGGACGAAATTTTCGTCTTCGAGGAAGCCACAGAATCTCCGAAGGAGGATACTTTGTCGACGGAATTGAACAGTGAGGATTCGTAGCATTATGAAAAAGAAAAGGAAAAGAACAGAAAAATTGATCGCGATTGAAGTGGGCCTACAAAGACAATCGTTCGTGAAAGAAGGAAAATTTTCTCGATCAAAGAATTTAGATTTAATATGGCGTGGTTCAACGATAGTACGACATTTTCACGATAGTTCAAATATTTTTGCCAAATATTCCGCTTTGATGATGAAGCGTTTATTATTATTAAGACGCGTAAGACGTTTGGTGAAAGAATGACCGACGAGTCGTTCTCGAATATCGTATTTTTGCTAAGTTTTATTAAGTAATCGATCGTGCGAATCAAATATTGATGATATAACGGTGTCAATGCGTGTCTATTCGTTTATATTTGTATTATCGATTATTCGTTATAAGGAATAAAAAGAGCGGTAGAGGAGAATACACATTTTCAAATTCACAGGAGAGGAGAAAAGAATATATCGATTTTACGACAATTTGTATATGTTTATTTACACTACAAAATAACAGAGACGATTTACATTAAAAGAAACACCACGTCCAATTTCGAAGATCGACACACTTTCGTGTATCGTTCGAACATGACCATTTTCTTGTCTCTCCAAAATAAAAGACATCGAATATCGTTCTATCTCGTACGCGACATTTAAATGGTCGAACGAATTTCAAACTAGTTGAAAATAGTTTGTACAATAGCGAGAATCTGTTTAGTTTAGATGGTAACCGCGATCACCGCAGCGGGTTGGCAGCCCTTATTTTTACGTGTACATCGATCGGGAGGAAGAAAAACAATGATTGGCACAGTTCTGAATATCAAGAACAGCTATATACATTGGACCACGCGACATTTTACTCGAATTTGCGTCAATTATTTCTCGCATAATCAAAAACGAACGAGTGTTAGCCACGAGAACGATCGATCTTAAATTTCAAGCATTACACCGAAATATTACAAAATTCGAACGCGTATTGAATTCTTTTTAACGAAAAAAAGAAGAAGAAGAAGAAGAACACCATTTCGACGAAAGTTCGAGTGAAATGAATCTCGCGAGGTGTAAACTTCCTAACCGCTACGTAAGTAACCACAAGCTAAAATAAGAAAGGTCTATGTAACTACGCGTAAAACAAAAAAGAAAAAGTATCAAAAGAGATAGAGAGAGAAAGAGAGAGAGAATATTGGAGGGACGAGAAGTAGGAAACGAAGGGGGAAACGAGGGAAGCGAAGCACGAGAGTCGGAGAAGATGGATGCCGCCGCTTGGACGTGGACGTGAAGTGGAGGTCGCGAGGTTAAATTATTTAACGGAACAAAGAGAATTGGATAGCATCGACGAGGCGCTTTGGATCTCGGGGACAAGGGGGCAACGGTGTGTGTTCGCGTTGCCAACGTCGTACCCGTGCTCCTCACTCGACAATCACGGCTCAGGAATGGTCTTCGTGTGCTCTTCCCGACCGTTTATCGATCATCGGGCACTTTTCTCCTTACGTTTTCATATCCTATCGAGCGTTTATCCCCTAAATGATGGAGGTGATCAGTCTTGCCTTGAAGTTGACGATGCGTTCGCTCGTCGCTGCCAGGCGCTGGAAAGAAGAAAATGACAATTTTTGATTACCATCGCGTACATAACCTCGATTCTCTTTCGTGCATCAGAGTTGATCGAAGTTCGACGAAACGATGAATCGAGGGGATAGATTTCTCTCTTCAAAGTTTGAAAAATATCGCCTGTTTGATCTTCTTGGACGAGATGATTCATAGATGAATCAAGAATAATCGACCGGGCCTATTTCTCCTATTGTTCAATGAACTCGCTGATTTTCGCGCTCGCAAGGACAGAAACGTTCGCAACGCTTTCGAGGAGACGCTTTCGACACTTTTTATTCGACACGGTTTCACCGTGACGAGCGCAAAGAAACGATTATCGATCTGTGTTTAGGGCCGGCTCGATCATTGGGATCCAACTTGCGCTCCTTGCGCGAAGTTGTGCTCGGGCCTCGTAACGATCATTTTACGGAAAGCAGACAGATTCCACGCGTTGCGCGAAGCGTGAACGCTTTCGAACGAATGTTTCTCGCCGGTGAGCGTGTTTCTCGCCGAAGATGGCATATATAATAAGCGCGATTAACTTCAACTACTTAACTCGGCTGCGTCGTGATAAATTCATCGCTATTTTTCTCTTTCTCTCTCTCTCTCTCTCTCTCTCTCTCTC